GGGACGACATCGGATCTCGATGCTGTGGTTTTGTGGTCGAGGTACATATTTGCACAACTCAGACTCGGTGGCGATCTTTGTCAAGCATCGACTGATAATACAGACGACGCAACACTCACGAGTGCTTCAGCATACCCAAGGCAGACGGGGCTGAGCAGCACGTTGGGACGGATGACCAGATTCAGTGTCATTGCCAGTCGACCACAACCGCGACGACCGCACTCAATAACCAATCTACGGTACAGTATCTGGTGCCTTAGCTAAGACGCGATAGAATGCTCAGTGGATTACATTTGACGGCACCGGAAGTAGAAACCCTAGACCCTATACCTGGGGTCTCCGTAGTCGTTTCGTTTGGCGTTTTCCAAGACTTTCGCGTCGGTGGTTCAAGCTGTCCATTGCAGTGTGTATGCACCCAGCTCCGAGAGTTATACCGTGGACTCCTATCGGAGCCGTAAGCACGTAGTGGGATCTTGGCGAAAAACAGCCGCACAGCTCACAGCCGCCTACAGACGATCCATTGATCGAGGTCGTGGCTCGCTTTTCGCATCAGATATAATGCAGCCAAAGTGAGCCGTATTTCTCAAGTCCCGAGATAGCACTACAGTCATTTAACGACGGACGATGTTACTTAGTGAACCCGATGCAGCCACAACCCCACTGCATACATCCTGATACGCACCCGCTGTCTTTGTGGTAGCATCCCGTTTGTGACCCGATCTCTTGGGATCGCCAACCTGTGGAACTGAATTAATCTGGTCAATCTGAAAAATCGGCCGACAACTACCAGAGGTCTGGTTGCAACGACATTTGACGCTCGTTGCGTGTGGCATGTGCACACTTTTGTCTGGCGCAAAATGACACAACGACGTTGCAACGGCGCGTTGACAAAAATGGGGTTGTCTACTACATGACAACATTGTGCCCAAACTAAATCCTACCGCGCATCAACTCGTAGCTTAGATGAGCACGGGGTTTTCGAATTCAGTTTGGGGCGCGAGTCAATTGGTGGTCGACGGCGACTCGGCAATGTGCTTGAGGATCTTGACTTCTTGCTCGCGCGCTTGGAGGATCGACACGACCGACGCCTTCATGGACGCATTCTCGAGCGCGAGCTTCTCGGCACGGACTTGCATGCGCGATTGCGCTTTCTCCAAGGTCGTCAGAAGCGACGCCGTGCGCTACACCATGATGAGCTAGACGCTCGCACCGTCCAGAGGTACGTACCTGGTACTCTTGCTCGAGCGCCGAGAGACCGCGCATGAGTTCGTCTTCGGCTTCGCGAATGAGCTCGAGGCTGACCACGCTAGGAACAAGTCGGATCAGTGCCAGTCGCAAGACGATGGCGAGCGAAGGTTTGCGTCGTACTGTGTGCGGAGCGACTGCAGCGTCGTAGCCCAATTCTACACAACGAGGCTCAGATTGATACGATGGCGATGCATCAATGTACCGTGTCGTCCGTGCGAACGGTGAAGCCCAAGTCTGTCTGTCGCAAGTGTGAGCTTCCGGGAGCTGCGAGGGCCGTGATGGGCCGTACCATCTTTTGCTTCTTGGCCATGGCCTGGATGTGTTTTCGGCTCGCGCGGTGCTGTGCCATGTTGTCCTCGTTGTCCTTCTGCGACCGCAGCAGCCGCTTCCCGCACTCGCACATGAAGAACTCCGAGTCGCTGTTCGAGAGCGCTTCGGCGTGGCGCTTGCTGGCCTTGTGGCGCGCAATGTTGTACTCGTTGGCGTTGACGATTTGCTTGCCGCACTCGCACACGAAGAGGTTGTTGAGCTGCGACGCCTTGAAGGCCATCTTCGGGTCCAGCGCGCTCGTGTCGTCCTGCATGAGCGCCTGCTCGTACTCGCGCGAGAGCGCGGCCTGGTGCGCTTGGTGCTGGTGATGGGCTTGCGCGGCCTGGTGGTGGTGCACGGCCTGCTGCTGTTGCTGCTGCTGCTGCGGGTGGTCCATGCCGGGATTTGCCGCCTTGGTCGTGTTGGGTAGGTAGGTCGTCTCCCAACTGCTGGGTCCAAGGGGGGGAAGGTTCTCCATCCAAAGCCACGACTCGAAATCTGACTTGGTTTTACTATGGTCTTCCCGCAGCCACTCGATCAAGTACGCAAATTCTCGCTAAAGTACGGTGTCAGTTTTATTCCCCCTCTGCCATCGCTTTTACTGGCCCAAAGCCCCCACCATACAAATACCAAGTGACAGGGGTGGAGGCCCATCGTTTTCTCACCGTCGATTTTAAAAAACCGACGCCATCCTCCCCTCGCTGTCTCTTTCCCCCACCACTCTCGGACACGACTAAGTGCGGTGTCGCAGCCGAAGAAACATACAAACATCCAGCTAGATCAAATCGCACTTGAGGGAGTGCGTGGCGTCAGCACCCGCTCAGATCGCACCTTGTACATAAAACGTGGTGCGTTAAACATCCTGGACACTCCGGTTAGCTCCATCACGAGCCGCTCCGTCCCCCGAGAAGGCAATAGCCAACACCTCTGATACCAGCCATACCAATCTCGCCATAACGTTAGCGTGCGCCTGACAACGTCTACCAAAGTCGATCCCGTACGAGAACTCGTGGCAAAAACTCTGGTCCACTGAACAGCTCGCTACCATTATTTGCAGCCAAGCGAGGATCAGCGATGCTATATTAGCGCCTACATCGCGTTCTATCGTATCCACGCGAGTAGTCTGGTTGACTATGCACGCTGTGCTTGCTTGTGTTGGAGGCTATCGGACGAGGCTGTCCACATGGCCTGAAATTCAACTTGGGCGTTCAACGCATGCGTTAAACCCCGCTAAAGTGCGTGGCTTCGAAATTCCAGCCAATCAGCAGGTGCCATGGGATCTTAGTCGGTGTGGGGCTCGGAGTCGCATTGCTCAAGTTTCGCCATGTCGCTCAAGCTCTTGACGCTCGTGGCGCTCGCGCTCGTGGGCATGGCCGTCGGTGCCAAATCGCCCAAGATCACCAACCAAGTGTACTTTGACATCAAGATCGGCAACCGCGATGCGGGCCGCGTCGTCATGGGCCTCTACGGCAAGACGACGCCCAAGACGGTCGAGAACTTCCGCGCGCTCTGCACGGGCGAGAAGGGCACGGGCACGAAGGGCAAGCCGCTGTGGTACAAGGACAGCGCGTTCCACCGCATCATCCCGGACTTTATGATCCAAGGCGGCGACTTTACGCATGGCACGGGCACCGGCGGCGAGTCGATCTACGGCGACCGCTTTGACGACGAGAACTTTAAGCTCAAGCACGAAGGCCCGGGCACGCTCTCGATGGCCAACGCCGGCCCCAACAGCAACGGGTCGCAGTTCTTCATCTGCACGGTCAAGACCTCGTGGTTGGACGGCCGCCATGTCGTGTTTGGCCGCGTCATCAGCGGCATGGACGTGGTCAAGGCCGTCGAGAAGATCGGGTCGGGCTCGGGCACGCCGTCGGAGCGCGTGACGATCGCCAACTCGGGCGAGCTCCTCGGCGACGACCTCCTCGCTATCGAGTAAGCAATGCATTTGCCCATACTCCTCACTTTTGAACACGATTTCGATTTGTGCCATCGATGCTTTCCTCCTTCACGGCAAACAGCCTGAAACAACACAGCGTGCATGGATTCGGGACTTAGTGGTCCGCCGTCTTCTTGGGCTTGGCCGCCGCGTCGCCGTAGGTCTCGAGGAGCTTGCGCCGGCGCTCTTCGGCCTCGCGCGACATGCGCACCGGCGCTTGTGGCGTCGGGATGTTGGTCTCCTTTGGCTTCTCGAGCTCGACAAACTCGTATTCCTTCTTCGCCGGGCTGCGCGACCGCTTCCGAGTCGTGAACCGGTCTTGCTTGAGCGTGAGCGACCCCTTGTAGCTCGCTGGGCGCGCTGCATAGTCCTTTCCGACCGCCTCGGCCTTGCGGCGTTCCTTGCGCCGGACTTCTTCCATGAGGTCCTCGGTCAAGCTCTTGTCATCCCTACTTTGCATGAGCAATCACAATCGCATCTGGAAGCAATGTACTTGGGGCGACGGTCGCGGCTGCGACTGCGACTGCGGCTACGACGACGACGGTCGTACGACGGCGACCGGCGACGGGAACGGCGATCTCGGGACGCCGACCGACGCCGCCGACGGTCCCGCGACCGCGACCGGGATCGCGACCGCTGCGGCGGCCGGGGCGCTTCAAACTCAATGTCACCAAGCCCGACCTTCTCCGTGTTGCCATACTGCGGGAACGTGACCCAGTACACGTGGTTGGCCTCGTCCGCCTCGTCAATCACCGCGTCGTACATCTAGTTGCCAGTGTGAACACTCGCAGACAAGGACCATGGGCTACCGCAGGCTCATTCTCGTCGTCCGCATACAGCGCGCGCACCTTGGTGCCCTTGACGAGCAGCTCAGCGACCGCGAGGTTGGCGGCCGCGCGCTCCTTCTTCTTGTCGTGCAGCAGCAGCTTGATCTTGATGCCATCGAGGATCTTCTTGGGGATGCGCGGAAGAATCGTACCAAAGTAGTTAATCTCTTCGAGCAGCGTGCGCAGCCAGGCTCCGGTCGTCCTAGGAAGCGTCATGAGCTCAAGGACGCGCCTGCAACCGGCCGTACGTGACGATCTTGTCGTTGGCCGACGCGTTAAACTCCTCGGCGTCGTCCAAGTACGGCTCGAACCACGACCAGAGCTCTTCGGGATCCATCGTGTAGCGCAGGTAGAGGAACCCGACGCAGCGAATGTACGGCGAGTCCTATCGCGCGGTGAGGCCAGCTCGAGGAGAGAGTGGCGTACGACGTGCTTGAGAAGGCCTTGCATCTGGTTCTGCGTCAAGCGCATGGTGCAAAACTTGAGGAGAAGACAAAAGCACGACGAGGGAATGCGCGCGGTGCCGGGCGAGAGCGGCTCTAGCATGCACATGAGCTCGGTGACGCAGCGGATGATGCATGTACCTGCGTGGTCGACGCGGTAGTAGATCTCGTCGACGACTTCATGGTACGTCTTGAGCGCGCTAGGTAAACAGGCGTGAGTGCCGGTGCGAGGAGGCAAGGAGGTACGACGCACTAGAGCTGGCCAAAGTAGACCGATTGCATGATGTTGTCGAAGAGCATCTTGTTGAGATTGTACGTCGTCGCATTACCATGCCTACGCGGGCCATGAGCACCAGAAGAGGTGGCAGGACGAAGCATGTACACGGGCAGCTCGTTCTCCTTGGCACGGCGCTCTGCGTACTCGCCCTCCATGTAGGCAGCATGCTGCACTTGCTGGGCCATGGCGTACGCATGGGCCGCATAGTTCATCGGCGGCGCCGGCTGGGCGTCGTGGCGGGTGAGCGCGCTCCGTGACATCCCGCTTCCTTCGCCGTTGGTTTTGTGCACGGACCACGTACCGTTAAATAACGCGGAATAGGCTCGATTGCGTTAAATAACAAAACGGGCTCGATACCGCAACCGAGATCGAGATCACCATCGTCCTGCTAAAGAGCCACATTAGCGATGCCACTTCTGAGCCGCGATCCATGCCGCTGCCTGCAGACACATATTGTCGGGTCTCTATGTCTCTATCGGCAGCCTTTGGTCAACACTGTGCCATCAACATGTCAACTCAAAGGGTGGCTTCCGCAAGATGATGCTCACGTTACGAGTCGACTACATTCCTTGTCCGTACAAGGCCCTCACACAGGCTGCCGCCCAGTCATTCTACTGACCTTCTACTGTGCTTATACTGCGCGGTGCTCTTCGTGCTTGGCGTGCTCGATCCTCACGGCTGCGAAAAATGGCGCGAGGATCCGGTTGTTTATCCGGTCATCGAGCTGCCATGTGGTGGCGTCCCGTGCCATTCATGGCCCATCGAGATTGCCTTTTGCTCGCTGCATGTATCACGCAGTCGCTCATCGGTCCTATCTTCCGCGCGCTCTTCTCACATCGCTAGTATCGAAAATGTCTTCGTCGACCTCGGTCCGTGACCGCGCCGCTGCGCGCGGCTGGAAGCTCTACAACGATCTGCAGCAGCCCAAGACGATCTTGGCGCCGATGGTCGACCAGAGCGAGCTCGCGTACCGCATGCTCGTGCGCAAGTACGGCGTCGACGTCTGCTACACGCCGATGATCCACGCGCGCATGTTCCGGGACGACGCCACGTACCGGGCGACCGCGTGGCAAGTGGTGCAAGAGGATCGGCCGCTCTTCGTGCAGTTTTGCGGCAACGACCCGGCGACCGTGCTCGAAGCCGCCAAGCACGTCCAGGACGGCTGCGACGCTGTCGACCTCAACCTCGGGTGCCCGCAGGGCATTGCGCGCAAGGGTCGGTACGGCGCCTTCCTCATGCACGAACCCGAGGTCGTGCGCGAGATCGTCTCGACGCTCAGTCGCGAGCTGAGCGTGCCCGTCTCGTGCAAGATCCGCCTCTTGCCCAACTACGACGACACGCTGGCTTTTTGCAACATGCTCGTCGACGCGGGTTGCTGCTGGCTCGTCATCCACGGCCGCACAAAGGAGATGAACAAGCAGCTCGTCCGCGAGTGCGACTGGGAGAGCATCAAGCGCCTCCGGAAGGAGCTCCCGATCCCTGTGTTTGCGAACGGCGGTATCGAGACCGACGACGATGTTGCGGCCTGCCTTGCTGCGACCGAAGCCGAGGGCGTCATGAGCTCGGAAGGCATCCTCGAGTACCCGGCGCTCTTCACGGGCAACAAGGACCCAATGACCGGTGAGAACGTGTCGCAGATCGACCTCGCTCTCGAGTACATGGACTGGGCGGCCAAGTTTCCGCCGCCCGAGAAATTCCTGCGCGCCCACTTGTTCAAGATGCTCTTCCAGGAGCTCAAGGTGTTTACGGACCTCCGCGAGGCCATTGGTCAGGGCCAGACCCACGCCGAGCTACTCGCGATCGTCGTCGAGATGAAGGCGCGCTTGGAGGCGCCGGACGCACCTTTGATTCCGTACTCGACCAACGACTCGTGGTACCGGCGCCACCGCAAGCAGGCGGCTGAGCTCGACAAGGAGCCCGACATGGACAAGTGCCTCGACTCGGGCTTTGGTCTCCTCTTTGGCTAATTTCACCAAGTATATCTAGTGCTTGTTGTTGTTGTTGCGTGTGTTTAGACAAAGAGTATCGACGCTGTGTACATCACAAGTCTTATCATTTGCGGTCCGAGGCAAGCAACGCGGGCATGCCCATATCGAGACGGGTCGTCGCGAGACCGTTGGACAGCGGCGCGTCATTTTCGTAGTTCATAAAATGCTGGTTGCTCCGGAATTCGAGGAAGAGCGTAAAGAGCACGTGGAGCGACTCGTACACATTCTTGTAGACCGGAACGTCCAGAATGGCGCAAATGATGCGCGTGAACTGCTCCAACGAGACGTTGAGGTCGGCGTTCGGGAGCTGCATCGTGGACAAGAGCTCTTCGAACTCGTCGGGCCACACCTAACCATCACGATTCATGTCCATAAATTCAGAGGCAATTCTTGTACCTGCATGAGCGTCTCAATGTCCGGCATGCTTTTGGAGTAGTGCACTTGCGGGGGCGGCTTGGTGCGGTGGAGGTCGCCGATGCTTTTGATCCACCGGTCGATCTCCTTGACGTTCTTCTCGGCATTCTCGATGCTTCGGACGACAATGTCGCCGTGCTTCTTCTTGGACGTCGCGCGCAGCTGCAGGTCCAGGACCGTGGCGTCGCTCTGCGCAATGCTCGGCTCGTCGAGGACCTTGAGCCCGAGGTTGTCGGCCTCTTTGTCGGGGCGCGGAATCTTGAGGAACGTGTCCATCTCGCCGATCGCGGGGATGTACTCGGGCACGAAGCACTTGAGGCGCGTCTCGAGCTCGATTTCTTGGGCTTTGAACCGCCCAATGTACTGGAAGAGCTCCTTGATGTCCTGCGTCACCTTGAGGTGGGCAAAGTCGCTCTCCTTGTATGCACCCGGCACGTTGATGGACGCTGCCGACGGTGCGGTGGCCGATTCCGACGCGGCCGCGTGCTCTTCTTCTTCCTCCTCCTCCTCCTCTTCGTCTTCGTCTTCTTCTTCGTCCGAGCCGGACCCTTCCGACGAGCTCTCGTCGGCTTTCTTTTTGAGATCGTTCTTGGACGAGTGCGGCGTCTTGGTCGCAGTGGGCTTGGGCGCTTCGTTGGCCACTTTCTCCTCGGCCGCCGCGACCTTGTCCGTGGCCGACTTGGGCATCGTTTGGAGCGGCTGGTTCATCGACAGTCGCTTCTCCAGCTTGGGTTTCTCGGGCGACGGCGCGCCGGACGTGTCGACGCTCGCCTCCGAGTCGCTCAAGTCGATTTGCTCGTCGAATGGCTTGTTCTTGACTTCGCCGCCATCGCTGTTGGCTGCTGCGGGTGCTTTGGCTGCCGCTTTGGTTGGCGGCTCCTTGCGCTCTTTCGGTGCTGGGCGCTCGGACGCCTTGTCGTCTCGTCGATCGGCCGCTTCCTTCTTGGGCGGGTCCTTGGGCATACTGCTTTCAATGTCGTGGCTGCCCGAGAGGTCTAAAGCTTCGTCGAATGGCTGGTTCTTGAGCTGCTTGACATCCTTGCCCTTCTTGGGCGAATTGGGGTCGTTGACGCTCTCGCTGTCGCTCACATCGAGGGCGGCGTCAAAGGGCTGGTTCTGCAGCGCCCGCTCCTTGCCGCCACTTGCGTCCTTGGGCTTGGCCTTGGGCTTGGCCTCCTTCTTGGACTCTTGCTCGTCGTCGTCTTCGTCCGAGTCTTCCTCGTCGCTGCCCGACTCGCTGCCCGAGACTTCTTCCTCTTCCTCGCTCCCGCTGAGCTCCTCGTCGTCCGACTTGCCAGGCATCGCCAAAATAAAGATTTGTGCCCTTTGGCTCCAAAGGTCGGGGTACTTGCGTTTTGTATTGGCATACAAACATCACGCTAATGACTACGCGCACGCCACCTTAGCCGCCCCACCACCACGGCACCATCCACAGTGCGTCGTGTGTGCATCGGGCACCAACGTTCCAAATAAGCAGACGTCGTGTTGAGCATTTGGCATTTATGCGTGCTTGGTCGGTCGGCGCTTGGCCTTGCTTTGGGATTTGACCGACTCGCCAGCAACAATGTCGGTGGACTTGAACTTGGCCTCGAGCTGCTCGACTTGGTGGTGAAGGAAGCGAACGACGTCGTCGAGGTCGTCGGTAAAGCCGAGAACGATCGCGACACCAGAGGCATCGTCAATCACGTGCTTGTGCAGGTTCGGGTCTTCGGTCAAAATGAGCACAACGCGATTCCAGATCAAGTTGTGCAGGCGGAGCTCCATGAAGTTGCGCAAGAGGACTTCGCCAAGCCAGTTAAACGCTCGCTCTTGCTACACACATTGTTAGTCGATACCACATGTCAGCAAGATCGTACGTCGGCGGTAGCAATGTCGTCAACGTGCACGCGCTTGAGAAGATCGAGGAGCACGCGATGGCGCTGGACTACACATCATGACGAAGGCGCGTCATCGCGGCCAAATCCAAATGGGAATGTACCGTCGGCTTCAAAGCCCGTCGTGTGCTTGAACACAATGTTGCGTTCGCGCGTGAGCATTTTGCGGAATTTCTTCTCAATGTCTTCGGCCTCGCTACGGTCCAAATGTTCAAAAATCGGAAAAATTCAACATTGGTACCGGGCACTGCCGTCGCCGACGGCGTTGGTCTCGGTCAAATCTTCGTCCTAACACAAATATATAAGCTACAGGACAACCAAAAGTCGAGAACTACCCAAGGAATGAGCTCGCCGTTGGCGTGCTGCGAGACAACGGGGATGTCGGCTTGGTGAAAGAGGCTCGAGAGCACCGAATTGGTGTACTTTCGCCACAGCATGGCAGTCTTGTCGAGGATGTTGGCACCGAGCGGCGAGAGCGACTGCAGTGTCATGTCGTAGAGCTCGGGCGGGATGACCACCTTTTCGCGAATGTGCAAGTAGGCTTGGCCGTCGACGTCGACGAGCGGCTTGGTGTGGCGCTTGACGAGCTTCTTGGGCACGGGCACGTGAAAGTCAAAGGCAAAGCTCCGCGTGGCCAAGAGGTCGTTGGTCATGTTGCCGTTGCAGCCGGCGCCGGCCATGTCCAAGAACGCGTTGAGGTGCTTGAGCGCGTCTTCATTCTGGTCCTTGATGGATTCGTGCACGTCCTTGAGACCGCGCCGGTCGAACTGAAGCACGTCCGGATGCACCTGCAGCAAGAAGGAAGAAGCCACGAGCTTGAGGTTGATGGGCTTCATCGAGAGCTTGGCGCTGGACGCGAAGCCGCGGACGAGCATTCGACGTGCGAGCGCGGTCCCGATCATGCTTTAGAGTTTTGAATGGCACCGATGCTGTGATTGGACCGATTGCAAAAATGGGCAATACTGGTTTTACCCAGCTACGATAGGATTGGCTATAAATGGACAAATCACAGCTCATTTCGTCACGAGCAGGATGGTTCACGGGTCAGACGTGGGCGAGAACAAGAGGTGACACGACACGGCGTCACCCGACCGCTTTTCGCACTCTTGTTAGACAAATGAGTTGCGAACGTGGCAAGAGGACAATAGTGCAACCGTGCGATCGAGGATGTGGAAAACCGACTTTTTATCGCATTTTAGCCAATCACAGCGCGTGGAACACCGGCCGTGGGACAAACACCGTCGAGCAGATCTCGGATTCCGGGTTGTGACGAGATGGGGCTGACCAAGCTGCCGTCGCCGCGCCCGCCCGTATCGCCCAAGGTGGCCGAGGTGCTCCAGGCGCAGGTGCTGCCACCTCGCTCTTGCCGATCGATGCCAACATCGTGGCCATGTAGATTCACCGGCGGTCCGAGGCCAACGACCCGCTCTGGCAGGAGGCGACGACGCAGCTACGCCATGTGAAGGCGCTACGCCAAGTACGTCGTGTGAATCTCTTGCAGGCATCGAGACGACGTCGTTTTGATCTAGTTGCGAGCAAAGCGGTATCGAATCGAGATATGGATGACGGCCTTCGCGGTCATCAGCGTCGTCGCGGCCGCCCTCTCGATGCAGGTGGGCCCATTAGTACATACCGCGATCTCACGCTTCGACTACTAGCTGTCCATTGTCCACACGACCCAAGCCGTCGACCTCAACCGAAGCGATATGGCCTTTGCTGTTGACGTGCTCCGGTCGATCATTGCGACCACCACCATCTTCCTCTACGGCCTCGTGCTGCTTCGTTATGGTACGCTACCACGCATACACCGCCAGTTATAGATTGATGGTAGACGTCGTCTGTGACTTGCGCATCGCGTCGACACGACTGCATCCGACGGCGAAATTCTACCATCCGTCAGCCGGGCTGCTGCCGTACATTTCGGCCCGCCGCGATCCAGTGTTTCAAACTCTGTTTGCTCTAGGAAAGCGCTGTTTGAGTGCTTTATTCTGTCGCTGCACGTGCCACCGACGTTTGCTCGTCTCTTTATCTCGCATCGGTTCATGGGCAGTCCCGAGCGCGTACGTCGTCCTCACTGCCAGCGATCATCATACATGGTCGGCTTGTAGGCGCACCACCAACGACTGTGTGCACCAGGGATGCAGCTCGACGCAACTGGTTTTTGCTACCTCGATCTGCCGTGGTCCTTGGACCAATTTGGTTTGGCCATGCGCCAACTGGACTCGAATCTGAGCGTGTCTAGATGTGGTCGTGTTTGTGCGACTGTATGTGGTGTTCCGCCTCCTTCGGCACCAGCTCGGTTTCGAGTCGCCCGACATTGAGTGGCAAGGTACAAGCTGAGGCGTCACGTCTTTAGTACCACATTGTGGACTAGGGACCCAGTGGCATGTGCAGACTAGCTCATTCTGGTTCACGATCAAGCACATGTTTCATAAGCACCCCGTGCTCTTTTCGGCCATGAGCTTTGGCGCGACGTGGCTTTGCACAGCGCTTGTCGTGCAGTTCTTGGAGCACGCTATCAACGCCGACATTGACTCGCTCTCCGAAGCGCTTTGGCTGACCGTGCTGACCATGGTGTGTCACCACTTTGACGCGACGCATTACGTTCAACTAGGCTACGGTTGGCCTCGGTAGCGCACCCCCCATCTCGGTGCAGGGCCAGGTGGCCATCGTCATCGGCGGCATCGTCGGTGGAGCGATCATGAACGCACTCCTTACGACCGTGCTCATCAGCTCGCTGCACCTCACAGAGAAGGAGGACGAAGTCATCCAAACGATTCATGCGCGCGATCTGCACGTGGCTCACCACCAAGCGGCCATTCGCCTCTTGCAGGTACACGAGCTCTGTCTGCAGAATTCTTGACGAAGAAGAGCTAGACATTTGGACGTGACGTGCTCTTGCGTCAAGCCACGCCCAAGGCGTCGTGGTGTACCTTGCGTCGAAGCCGCCACCGCATCATCCAGTGCGTGTGCTGGATGAAGACGCTTGGTTGATGCTGCTTCTAGGGCGGCGACTGCCTTCCAGACGTATCGGCGGCGCATGCGCGAGCGGTCGCATGAAGATGTGCTCGAGGCCTGCCATGACAAGGTCGAAGCCATCGCGCACTCAGGCGCAACGTCCGTCGAACGCGCGTGCATGGCGTCCCTCGATGCGATCGAAGCCAAGCTCGCGCAGGTGCATGCGCAACTTCGGACCCTCGACTAATGCATCAACGAGTTGGCACTACTACGTCATCTGCAGCCATATTAGTTGGTCAACACCTTGAGAAATGCTGGATGGCGTCGTCGCTACACACGAATTCCGCAAGAAACGTTGATATGACATTCTGTACAAAAGCGAGCTGCGACTGACATGAGCCGAGACCTCTCTTGAGCTGCGTACGTCGTAGCGGGGCATGCTGAACCGGGTCGGGTCGACAGTATTGGTCGCTTGGCTTTTTGAAAGTGGCTGGCGATGTAGGACGCCTTGTGGTGTCATAGATGAACTCCACCAAACTACGGTTCTCTACCGATATTTTCAACTAGGAAACAACAAGATTATCCTCACGGTAGACTAAATAATAGTAACACGCTCTAGCTCCAGAGCCCGAGCTTGCGCGCTTGCTCCTTGAGGTCGTCGACAGCCTCGGTGCTCTCGACAGCTTTGAGCGGCACGAGCGTCTTGACCGACATGTGGCGTTTCTTGGCGAATGTCGGCTTTTCCTTCAGCGACGCCATCGCAGCCGCCGAGAACGCACCTTCGCTCGCACACGTGACGAGCGACTTGGTCGTCGACTCCTTCCCGAGCCGCGCCGGTGCGCGCTTCTCGCGCTGCGACCGCTTCCGCACCAACGGCGCCGGGCTCACGACGGCTACGCACAGCCAATGTTACAGCCCATATCGTACACAGACGGCGTCGGTACCCATCTCAGGCTCTTCGTCGACCTTGTCCAAGTCGGCCTTGGTCGACGGCGCGGGTTCAACTTCGGGGTGAGCACTCGTTTCGTCCGAGACGTCGTCGTCGACTTCAACCAAATCGACATTGCTAGTCCATGGCGTGAGACGAGGATGCGGCGCCAAGCTCAAGTATACCACGTGGCGTCCATAGGCTCCACTTTGGGAAACTGCATCAAGTTGCCTTGCGGCATCTCTTCAACGTCCACATTGCCGCTGGCGTCGGACCCGAGGTGCACCATATCGACGGCGATCACCGGTAAATGCGGTATCGGCGGTTGTCGGTCCGGGATTTCGGCCACAAACTTGGTGCTAAACAGGTCCGTGTAGTCGTCAAGCGGGTACTTGTACGGCGGCGGGCGTGTCCGCGTCTTCTGATGCTCGTGCGTAATCGTTGGCGGCCGGACGATCGGGGGGGTCGGGTTCGTTCCACGTGCGTCTTTGCCGACCATCGAGAGGTTGATGAGGGCGAGGACGGCGCCGGACGTCACTTTGGGGGACTCGCGCGAGAGATTGGCGAGCGCCAACGAGCACGCATCCCGTGTCTACACGCCCATTGACAACTTGTCCACAAATGAAACGAAACGACGTACCACGTCATTGTCGATCTTGGCCAAGTGCAGAAGCGCGGGCACGGCTTGCTCGAGCACCATTTGGTGCGTGTTGGCCATGTCGTTGGAGAGGTGTCCGAGCGCCATGGCACAGCAGTGGTAGATGTCGTAGCGCGCTTTGCTCATGGCGACTTGAACAAGAAGACGCGTGCAGCCGAGCTGCACCATGGCTTGGCGCACCGACACTTCGGCCGACAGCATGCATAGACTAGTCACTCCACTTAGGTGCTTGGACCCGATGGTATCGTAGGAGGATACCACGCGGCGCAGCGCCATTGTGTTTCGAGCGTCGCGTTGGTCAAGAGCACTTGCAGCGACCGAATCACGTCCTACCGCCCACACTCCATCCTGTGACTCGTAGCATCGGAGGTACCTTGACAACCATGCTGCGCGGCAACGACTCGATGTAGCTCATGGAACAGAGCACGTCGGCGCAGTCGAGCGCGGCAGCTTCGTCGCTCTTGTGTTCAAGGCTGCACGCGAGTTTCGAGACGAGCTCGATGATCATCGGACTCGAAAGTACGTGCTGCGCAAAGTCTTTTGTGCGAGAGAGCTGCCGCACGAGAATGCACATGAGCGCGCGGTTGATCGTGTGGTCGTCGTCATGACACGTGAGCAGTGCGTCAAAGATGCCGTGCTGGATCATCACTGCAGCATGCGACTCGTCAAATGAGAGACAGCAGAGCCCGAGAAGCATCACGTCCAAAATCGCTTGGTTGGACGCAAATTGCGGCACAATGGCAATGAGCGCCTGGGATACGTGGAGGACGTCGACGTTCTGCCGCGCGCTGTCGTGCCACAAGACGTGGCAGAGCACCGAGACAGCAAGCTCGATCGTCATCGGGTCGGGGGCCTCAAGGTACGCGAGTAGCATCGTGATGCACTTGGCGTCGCTCACATACTCGCGCGTGTCGTCGTGAAGCGCGAGAAGCAAGAGCGCCGAGACGAGCCGGCCCATGCGGTGCGACGTCTTCTCGGAGAGGAAGACTATCGCGTCCATGAGCCCTTCCCGCACGGCCGCCATGCGCGTGTCGGCGTACAGCGCCAGCTCGCACGCGATCGACGCCAGCAGCGCCGTCGTCGAATCCAGCGGATGGTCCAGTTGCATGTACATGACAAGCGTCCGCAGCGACTGCGTCTCGTGGCAGAGCGTACTTCGCGCATCTTCCGAGCGCAAGAGCTTGGCATAGATCGTTGCTGGGATCGGGGATGCGTCAGTTGGATCGAGCTTCGTGATCGCAGGCAATAGCTTCACAAGTCCTTCCTTGAGAATTGGCGCCTAAGGTCGACGTACGATAAGACGAGCGCTGCTGTTGGCGTATACCATGGTCGAGTCGAGCAGCAGGTTGCCAAGCGCCCGCGCGCACGTTTCTTTGGTGAACGCGCTGCCCGAGCGGACGGCACAAATCATAAAGAGGACGCCGACCGCGCCTTCGCCCACGAGCTTGGCCTCGTGCCCCGGCGAGCACGAGAGGTTGCAGAGCGCTTTGGCGCAGTCGCTCTGACTCTCCTCGCTGTACGAGTTGCTCAGAATCGAGAGGACGCTGACAATGTTGGAGCTCAAGAGCACGTCGTGCACTGCTTTCTCGCTTGCGAGGTTGCCGAGCGTCGTGGCGCACCGGCGTTGAATCTCGGGGTCGCGGAGCTTGGCGAGCTTTGTGAGCGACGGCAAGACGCCAAGGTGCACCAATTGAACGCGGCAAACTTCGTGGAACGAGAGCGACGCAAGGAGGTCGCAGCAGCACGCTTTGGTCTCGCTGTCGCGGCTGTTGACGCACGACTCCAAGACGGCGCCGACGCCGCCTTCGTGCAGGATGAGGCCGGCGCAGGCTTCGTCTTGCGAGAGCATGCTTAGACACGCGACGCAGTAGCGCTGAATGGGCATGACATCGGTCGCCAGCGCGCGGGTGATGACGCGGACAACGTCAAGGTTGGCAACCACGTGTCGCGTGTGAACATCGGCTGCAAGGTAGCACAGCGCCGCCGTGCAGAGCGTCAATAGCGTCGGGTGCGAGCTCGCGTGGCAAAGGTGCACGATGGCCGCGATGCCACCTCCGGTGCTCATCGACTCGCGTGACGTGCCGTTCTGACAGAGGTTATACAGCGCGGCGGCGTAGAGGAGCTGGGCTTGCGGCGGCGAGTGCGGCAGCTGCGCGAGTTCAAAGAGCGCCGAGAGCGCGCCGGACGCAGCAATTTCGATCGCCGCTTGCTTGACCATGAGAAAGTTGCACAGCGCGAGCGTGCCCATGCGCTTGACGTCGTTGGGCGCGTTGGCCGTGAGCGCGGTGAGGATCGCGATGCCGTCGCGCTCGACGAGCTTGGTCCGCGTCTCTTCGCTGCACGAACAGTTGTGCACCGCAGTGGCGCACACCTTGCGAATGTCGTTGGCCAATGCCTCTGGCGCGGCTTCGTACGTCGGGGACCGCAGCAGGAAGGTTACAATGGAGAGGAGTCCCTCGAGCACGAGCCGTAGCCGGATCGTGCTCTCTTTACTAAAGTTGCTCAAGGTGCTGCCGATGATCCACTGCGTTTGTGGTGTGAGCGTCGGCGACCCGGCGAGGGCGACAAGGACATTCATGGACCCTTTGGTAACGAGCTCGACGCGGCACGAGCGCATGGCCGAGATGTTGCAGAGCACGTACGCAAGCATGTGTTTCACCTAGCGCTCGACCATCAGCAATGCAACCACGCAACATACAAGCTACGGCACCTCGGCGTCTTGGGATCGAAGCAGCGCCGTGATGGCCGATACAATGCCTTCTTCCATGAGCCGCGAACGAACGCGTTTCATGTTGGAGAGGTTCACGAACGACGTCGCACACATGAGCATGGTGCGCTTCTTGGCCTGGCCGCTCGCCGAGAGCGCAACAAGGGCCTTGATGACGACTTCGATTTGGTAGTAGGGCTCCTTCACGCACGTCAGGTTAAAGATGCCACGTTCGCAAATCGACGCCACGGACGCGGTCTCGTTGATCAGTCCTGCGAGCGCCCCGACCGCCCCGTCGGCCACCAACGTGCTTTCGTCGCCCGGAAGGCAGCACAGGTTGCATAACGTCAAAGCGCACGCTGTCTGGAGCGTCTTGTCGTCGCCGCCGTTGAGGATCGAGACGATCGTCTTGACGGCCCCGAGCTTGATGAGCCCGCGGCGGAGGTCCGAGACGTTGGAGAGGTTCATAAAGGTCGTGACGCAGTGGATCCGCGTGGCGAGGTCGTCGGTTTTGGAGAGGAGGATGATGGCTTGCACGACGCCTTCGTCGACCATGAGCCGGGCGTTTGCGGGGTTGGAGCTCCAGTTCGCGAGCGTGGACGAGCACCGCTGCGCTTGCGTCTTGACGCGGGCAGCATTCGACGACTCGGACTCGACCGACGGAAGCGACGGGGCGTCCGCGAGCGCTTCCTTCAACGCGTTGCCGTCAATCGACTGCGCGATCGGCGCGTTCCCCGGCGAGAGGAGAAACGACGATTTGTGCCCAAAGAGCAGCGCGTGGGACTTCTTCATGCGGGACATGTACAGCATGCCATCAATGTACTCGCCCCGCGTGCCAAAGTGGTCGCCAATGTAGTGTCGAAAGGCCTCGGTGACACTGGGCACCGTCCGATTCGAGCGCTCATTTCGCACCGTCGTCGGCTGCGGCTTTATCGAGAGCGCGGTGAGCGCGAGCTTGGCGTCCTTGTGCGGCGTCGACGGCTTTCGCTTGCCGGGGCTGCTCACGTCGCCGAGTAGCGCGACGGTCCGGCGCTTGGGCGTGGCCTCTGGCGCTGGTGTGGCCTGCGCTGTCGGGATGCTCATGCGCTTGGACGTGTGGCCTTCGTAGTCGAGCGCAAACCCGCTCTTCTCGAAAATCTTGTCGTCCGAGAGGGCAAAGCTGCGGGCCGAGATGACCAGCTTGGTGGTCCGCCTTGCAGTCTTGCTGGCCGTCGGCGTCGGCTCGGCGCTCTCATCGAGAAGCCCGCGCCGCTTCTCATGCTCCCACAGCAGGTCGAGGTTCATGCGGGGCCGACGCGTCCGCGACTCTGAAGATCTAAATCGAGCGCAAAACGGATGCCACGATTAAAGAATTATTGGCCAATCCATATCGTGCAAGAGTATGAATTATAGCCAATCCCAGCGCGATGCACGGCGCCGTCGACGGTCCACGACGTACGACTGCTAGAGACTTGACGCGACTGTGAAGGAGCCAAAGTCTTGGGTTTAGGGTATTCTGCGAACGGCTTGGACGCTGTGTGCGAGGATCCGAGATGGCGTGGGTACATTCCTGGTGTCTGCGCTTGCCACGTCATAGGCGTTTCGCCTCGCAGCCAATCCGGGCGCTGCATGACACCGTTGTTCGCATTGGCAAGTTGGTCATGCGGCATGTCACGTCAAGAATCACACAAGGAGCAATGTTTGAGTTTGCCCAATAACTATTCGCTAGTCGTAGCCTTTATTACAATGAACGCGCTAGATATCGGCGGTGGTGTGCGTGTCAGCGATCTGTTCGAGCAGCGGCAGCGCATCGTCGTACTTGACAAGGGCATATGGAATGCGGATGTTGCGTGTCCAGAGCAAGGGGTCGTCTTTGGCCCCGACGCCGTCGCCCGATGCGTAGTGACTGCCAGGGCTGCAGTGCTGATCAAAGCCCGAAGCACATTGGTTGTCGACGTCGAAAATAAGAACGCCGAGGGCGCCGGCGGCTTGTGCGTGCGCCACTTTGGTATAAAATGGCACAACACCGCGATGCACGAGGAGAATGCGGTCGCGGACAGCGTCGGCATTGGACAAGGGAGCGTTGCCGAGGATTGGGTCGGCCAGCACGGCTTCTACGTGACGCAGATGCGTCATCACGCTGACGAATACGAGAACGAGTCGTACCTGCGATGATATCGTACGCTTTCAAGCTGTGCTGCCCCGACCACACATCAGCCCGCCACGTCGACCAAATCACCTTGTTCTTGGCATCGAGCTTGCGCACCGGGTTGGCCAGCCCGACAAGCTGGTACGGCGACACAGTCTGCAGCACATCGGAAAAGACGAGAACGGGACCCGTTGCCAGTGGCGCCACCGTAGCTCCGATCTGCAGCGAGTCTCGGTCGTACGTCCGAGTAAAGTGGGGCGCGCCTTGCCCTCGCACGACCTCTACAAACGATTGCTCGATCAAGAAGCACCAAGAATCCGCGCACCTCGGCGGTCCTGGGAGCTGCTAGGCTCGAGCTCGACCGTGTCGGACCAGACGCTAAAGCCGCTCGCACCAAGTTCGTTGATGGCCGCCACCTGGAATTGATAACTGGATGTCGCCCGAAGGTTGCAAATATGGCCCGTCATGTTTTTCACACGGAGCGACAACTCGTGCTTGGTGACGACGAGCGCGTCATTGGTGACGACGTCGTACTGCATACTGTCGTTGAACGGCCGCCAACGCAACGGCACCGACGCATTCGTCGTCGGTGCATGCCGCGCCGCGATCGCGTACCCCAAAATCGGCCGGCCGCCGTCGTCCACGACGGGCAGCCACGTAAGCTGCACACAGTTGGGAGCGTCCGATGCTACTGCCTCCGGAAGTCCCGGGACTGGCGCCGGCACGGACGCGGGTTTCGTGCGAATGTTCTGGGACCGTTCGCTGAGCAAGCCGAGCGCGTTCCCGACAAAGAGCCGCACCGCAAACGTGTACGACGTGTTGGCGGCGAGATTCGGGACGCGCCCGGTGATGGCGCGGCCGTCAAAGTCACCGCCAAATGCAGTTGTTGGCAGCGCGCTGCGCAGCAAGTCGGCTTGCGTCAAGTTGGCAATGCCGGAGGACGCATTGGGTATCGCAGCGTCGGTGGCCCAGTGGATTTCATAGCCGTAGGTGGTCACGTCGCCTTTGCGCGGCTGGTGCAGATCTTGCCACGTCAGATGCACAACTGTGCGCCCCGTGTCCGAGTCTTGGAGCACAACCGGTGGCCGGGACACCTACGTCACGCTTTCGTCAAGTCCGGGTAAAGAGCAGGAGCGCACTGGGAGCGTGAGGCCCTGGATGACACTGTCCCACTTGCGGTCGTCCTGCCACATCTTGTACCGGTCCTTGCGCGACACGGCTTCGAGCTTGTCCTGATCGCTCTCTTTGGCAATGCGTTCGGGCTTGGGCCACGTGCGGTACATGGCCCACGTGCCCAACGACAGTGACGGACGGCGTGTCATAGACGTGTCGAACGTCGGCGCCTGCAACGCCAAGAGAAGTTGCCGCGCGGTCGTATCGACAAGCCCCGAGACGCGGAGATGTTGCTTGACGCGGTTGAGATTGGAGGCATCGGCAAAGCAAAAGCGGAGCATCGGTGACGACGCTGAGACAGCAAACCCGCTCGGTATGAACGCCATGTCGCCATGCAGAAGACGGACGCCGGTGTCAGCGTCGATGCTACCGTGTGCATCGATGGTGGCTTCGAGCACCTCGGTCTCATCCTACACAAGTTGATATTTTATGGTAGATAGAATAGCACACGTACCGTCGCCGACATGTCCAAAGCGAACGTATACTCGTCGTAGCTGGGCACGTGCACTTGAAGCGACACGGTCGTGGTGTCAGTCACTGCCGCCAGAACCATGTGCAACCCAAAGGGGCAGTGCAGCGGCCCGTCGGTCGCGGCCACCATATCCGGCAAGAGCGTCTCTTTGATCGACTCGACACGCTGCATGTAGTCGTTGACGACGACCTGCGGCACGCGAAATGACGCGAGCGCGTCGGTGCAGGCCGCGTCGGGCGTCTGCAGCGCCGATCGGGTTCCAAAGCACGCGGTGAGGAGCGCGGGCGGAACGACGAGCGTCTCGACCAAGCGGATCGGGTGCGACGCTAAAATGTGCTTTTCAAATACATCCTGGTACGTGGTATCGTTGGTTGCGTGCCAGAAATGCACGTGGCGCGCCGACAGCAGCGGGGCGGCGACGCTCGTGCGCAGCGCATCGCGGTACTTGACCTCGTTGCAGTGCCGAAGAAGCTCGGGGTCGACCGTACTATCGTCTGACGCCATGTACGCGTTGAGATTGCTGTATCCCTCGGCTCTGCAGCGCTCGAGCTCCTTGTCGATGTCGACGACGCCTGGCACCGAGACAAGGGAAGGTGCCACGTCATCGTCGAGGATGCGCGCCGCATCTTGCGCCAGTGAATCGCGCGCCAATGGCGCACCAACGTCCGTCGGCGAGGCGTGAATCAAAGCCGCCGCCAGGGCAGCGAGGAAGATACGCACCATGCTCGCCGTCGTCCCTAGATCTTTGCGACCGTTCGGGCAAATCTTAGGAAATTGAATTTCAGAGGTTATGACGTGGCACGGTGTGGGTCAAAAGAGCAGCAAATTCCAATAATTGGACCTATTTTCAACTGAATGCAGCTCCGTCAAAACTCGCATTTTACGTTGTTTCATTGTTGCCATCCCATGCCATAAACCACATCTCGAAGATGCGACAACGCCTGCCCTAGTCAAAGCGTCTACGACATAGATAACATTGAATGAATACCGTCCATTTTCGACGACATGAAGTTTAGTATCCGGATTTATTCGGATGCGGGCTCGGACAGTTTCATTTACCGGTTCCCGGACGGCTTGCAATCCTCTGTCAGGTGGTCCGAGTGCAGGAGCCTGCGTACGACCTCACGCGAGCTATGACTCGGCGAGTGGGGCTTACCACGGGATGGATCTCTCCGTACGCAGCTCACTCCCAACGACCAAGTGCTAACTCCCACGCATTCAGGCGTAGCGCTACGTAAGCGAAGTCTTCGAGTTAGTTTTCGCTAATTTGATTTCAACTCGAACACGTTTGATTGATTGATTGATGTACTATAGTCGAGCCCATAAATTCGTCATGCGGGTGACGCGATGTAGACACAGGTTCGTCTTTTTGTTCTTCTGTAGGTCAAGGTCGGGGCTTGAACGGACGGTATTGCTGTGCCAAGGAAGCTGTGCACAACGTTGCTCGGCTTCGCGTCGCTTCAGTGTATCAGAGTCACCAATGCGTTTGCAGCAAGCGTATATTGCTCAATGTGCGATGCTACAAGGCACGTCCGAGGGAGGCAGCTGAGGGAGATTCGTATCTACGGCAGCACAAAAAGGAACGTCTGTGAAATAATCAGATGGCGTCATGCGCATCTGATTCGGCGCGAATCAGATCAGAAATGATGCACGTCAGTTCTATCTGGGTCCGTGTTTCGTCTGCGGCAAAAGTAGCAAGATGAGGCCGACAGCGTGGACTGCCCGGCAACGAACTTTACAAACTACGGACACTGTGACGCTGATGCGAGAAAGGCGTTTTCAGTGGGCCCATGCGGAGTGCGAAGTACCGTACTAGTACACAAGTAAAGCGACGGGAGACTCGTTGGGTTTTAACGTTTGGACCCCTCTCTTGAAAGAAGTAGCATAGCAGGTTGAATGCAAAGTAATAGAAACCACGCCGGCTAGTTTAACACTAGTCGATTGGCACCCGAGACGATGGACGATTTGACGAATCAGATCCTCGGATCTGATGCACGAACGCGGACCGAGACGGGGCCGCCTCGATAGCGCTTCGCAGTCAACCTGCCCTCCGTGGCACGGCTCGCCCGTGGGTTTTGCACAACCCGACGCCATTCATTGTACCTTTCGCTTCGATAGCAACACTATGGTGCCTACCGCGATGCTGGCGCTAGCTTTCTTGTCGACGGCAGCCGCCGACGTCATTCCCAACTGGGGTGTTCAAGACGTCTGGGTGCACACAGCGACGTGGACTGCTGCCCACTGCCAGTGCTTTTGCGAACGTCTCTGCTCGCATCCGACCGAGTATCTCAAAACCAACCTCGTCTCGTCCGTGCTCGTGCCGCGCCTCACGAATGGCTCGATCCCACGCTGTGATTTGGTGAGTGCGCCGTTTAGCCCAGCTGCCATCCGCGCCGTTGGCCAAAGCAGCCTGCAAACGTACTATCCGCTCGCGATGAGCCGCGACCTTGACCACATGTGGGACGCGAACTCGACCGAGCCCCGCTACGACGTGGGCAGCTTTGGGTACCCCTGTGGCGGTCTCCACGAAACGTCGTACCTCAAGACAGTTGTCCAGCTCGGCAAGTTCATCCAGACGCCGTCGCTCCTCGTGTCGAGCATTGGCCAAAACATTACGACGCAGTCGATCCGCGATGCGTTCAAGAAGGATCAAAACCTCGACGTCGTTTTGCTCTGCTCCAGCGGCGGCTTTGCCGATGTTCTCACGTGCTGGACCAAGGCGACGCCGCTCATCTACCAAACGACGCAAGACGATCAAGAGATCGCGCCGCTGACGCCCGTGGCATGCCCGGCAGCAATCAAGGCCATGGATACGTGCTCGACACCAACCGTGCACATTTACGGCTTCAATGCGACAAGTGCGCCGACAC